GATAATTTTAGGTGGCATATAACCAGTGGCAAGAGAAATTTGTTGCAGAGCGCGACAGAGTTTATTTGGAGGATATGGGTCAATCAACTATGCCCTGCGACACAATTTTTTGTATGCTTCCCAACTTCCTAGCCGACTTCCAAAATTTCTTAAGCCCTCAGAAAATTTTTTTCACAAAACTAGTTTGGGTTCTAAACGGTATAATAAATTACTTTTTATTGACAGGTAGAGGCAAATACTTGCACAGTTCTATAAATTATGTAGTTTGCATTAGCCGCGGCTTACTCTCGGCGAATCATTCGAATTTGAAGAGATATCCAGCATACTTCAGAGACTAAAATCTGAGAAAAGATCGATAAGGATGACTGAAGTCCAGTTGGCGAGTGATGGACTTTGCTTACAATAGCACATTTACTTTTAAGCAAAAATGGGAGCTGGACTGAAATGTATTGACAGCCTAATACTTGTGCCTCAGTGGCGTACCGAGGGGGGGGGGCGCAGAAATGGCGAAATTTTTGAAAGTTGCTTAAGTGTGTCATAAAAATGTGCAGAGGACTTATTTTTGCTTGTAAATAATTAAAATAATTTTTAAAAATTTTTAAAAATTCAGATTAGCCTTGTAGAAGATTTTTTTCGGGGGCGTGGTGGCAGCCACGCCCCCTTTTTCTCAAATTTTTGGGTCAGGGGACCGGAAAAATTTTGGGAAACATCCCAGAAAATTTTTCGGAGTCAAAACTCCACCAACCCCGCCCATTCAATGGGAAGTGGCGGGTCTGGTGGACATTTGAAGCGCATTTTTCAGGACTTAGCGCATGAACTAGCAGATGGGGTTGGGCTACAGTACATTTGGGGAGTCTACTACCTGAATCCACCAAAATCCGAGAAGGGCCCATTCTGCTGATCCACTGCCTACAAGGTTTTTTGCAAGAACTAGTATTTATCTGATAGCCAAAAATCTCAACACACAGAAACTAAGATTATAGAAAAAGTTGATTTTGAAAGAAGTTATGGTAAATTCGATTCAAATCGGACAGAACTTATGCCGCAGTTTGATACTTCAACATGTTTCCAATTGGTATTGGTAGTTATGCGTTCCTCGGCACCCTTACATTTCAGTCCAGCTCTCATTTTTGCTTAAAAGTAAATGTGCTATTGTAAACAAAGTCCATCACTTCGCTAACATGGACTTTTAGTCACCCTTATCGGGCTTTTCTCAAATTTTAGTCTCTGAAGTGTGCTGGATGTCTATCTTCAGATTCGAATGTTCTCCGAGAGTAAGCCTCGGTTAATGGAAAGTACATGATTTATAGAACTGTGCAAGTATTTGCTTCTACCTGTCAATAAAAAGTAATTTCTTATACCGTTTAGAACCCGAACTAGTTTTGTGAAAAAAATTTTCTGAGGGCTTAAAAAACTTTGGAAGTCGGCTAGGAAGTTGGGAAGCATACAAAAAAATTGTTTCGCAGGGCATAGTTGACCCATACCCTAAAATAAACTCTGTCGCGCTCTGCAGCAAATGATACATCCTATTTCTATTCTTCAATCTCCAGCCAAGAAAAAAATTCGGCAGTTGTACATACAGAGCACATGACCAAATTGGGGGTTTGCAGAATTTTTTTAGACGGATTTCTGATTTTTGTGTATTTGTAATTTCTAATTTTTCTTCCAAATATCCCGTGCACCAAACCTTTAGCGATTGTTATCGCCATTTATTAGTATTTGCTTTGTTCTGTCAAATGATTATGTTTCCCATATTTTTATATCTACACTGCTGCGAACGCGTAAGGAGCCTGCATTTTAATTTCCGGACATAATATGTATGTACGTCCGGTATGTTCCAAAAAAGAAAATGATAGAACCGATTCGGACAAAACTTTGCGCATAAACACTCCGAGGCAGAGCGGATGTTGTAGGCTATTTTTCGTTATCAATCGATATCGGCCTACGGGGCTGAGAGTTGACACATAGGTAAGTGAGCATGGTGATAACAAAAGTAACATTGACTTGGAATCCGAAGCCGAATAAAGGGTCGAAAAGGCGGCTCTTCACCCTTCAGGCTCTGCAGGATCGAGTCGATGGAAGGCAAAAGTGAGCATGCTGAAAATAGGTAGATGCAGTATAGAACTGGCATGTGGTGGGGCAGAAAAATGTTGTACAGAAATAGGGGATGATCTTTATCACAGTATATTATTGACAGGCCGCGCGGAGCCGTGTATGCCAGCTAGCAGTGTCGGACCGAGGGGAGGAGGCCGAGGGGGTGTATGTCAAGAGGCGCGATTTTTATTGCCAGATGGACACCAAATAGCACATAATAAGCGTTTTATAACATTCTAGAAGTATTTAAACCTTAGAAGGAGATATATCAGGTAGTTGCATGAGTTGCTCAATCTTGTTAACTTGAAACAATTGAAAACAGCAATTTTGAAGGTCAAAAACCCATGAAAATGCAGTTGAGAACAAACTGTAAATATTTCGGTCCATTTTTCAGCAAAAGTCATCAAACTCAGCAGCTGATAACCACAGACAGGTAGTAAGCCATACATTTTATCTGTTACTTTTTAAAGACTCGCACAGCACCAAACTGGAGTTCTGAGTTGGTGACAGCCGGAAAAATCGCGCCTCTTGACCGTCTCCCAGGCCGGGTGTATGTCAAGAATCGGGTGTATGTCAAAAATCGCGCCTCTTGACCGTCTCCCAGGCCGAGGTGGGGGGGGGGGTATAAAAATGCGCAGCTAACTTGTTTATGCTTGTAAATAATCAAAGTAATTTCTGGAATTTTTTTGTAAATTTGAATTAGCCTTTGAAGAAGTATTTTTGGGTGCGTGATTGCCGCGACGTCCCCTTTCACCATTTCGGCGGGGCCCTTAAAAATTTGAAAAGCATTCTAAAAAATTTTCGGGGTGCGTGGCTTACGCCAGGAACCTTTATTTCAAAACATTTTTATCCCCCACTCCCCATCCCCCTCCCCCCCCCCCCCGAAGAAAATGCTGGGACCGCCATTGCCAGCTGGTGCTGCTTAATTACTCGTGCGCTTGTACACAGGGCAAAACTGTAGATTCAGGGGGGGGGGGGTTTGACTTCTTTCAGAGAACCGTTTCGCAGATTTGGAAAGCAGATATGTTATTAGTGTCCCGAAGGCAAAATAGAGGCAGTGTCCCGCCAAATTTTGCACCTCCACGTTTCTGCATGTTTTGAGCCTCTTCGACACACACAGAACCCGAATTTGAGCTTTGAACTGGGCGAACGGACTGTTTTTGGCCATTATCCAATTCCCAAAATGCTACTCGGACAAGAGTTTCAGTGGAAATTGGGAGGCCTTGCCACGAAGATCGCGACCAGGGCCCCCGGCACGAGTCAGTTTTTAGGGTTTCTGAAAACGAAGTCTCCCCTGACTTTCGAAAGTTTTACGAAGTCTTCTTTGACCTACCTATTTGGGAGAAGATGAAAACGAGAGAAATTTACTATTCTGGAAGAAAAAACGTGAGGTAAGAGTGAAAATCCAAGTTGGAGCTGAATACTACGCATGCTCGAGAGTTTGGCATTGGAGCGCGATGATCAACAAAGTGATTTATGAAGAATTGAAGGCAAAAAACAAAGGAAAGGCAATGATATGAAAATGTCTTCATGCTCAGGGATAGTTTTTTGACCGGAGGATCCGTCCGTGATAGAAAAATCCAAAACTTATGTGAAGTGACAGAAATATATGCTCCAGACCATCTCAGATCGTCTGATGACGTTGGAAGACGTACTAAGTTTGAAAAGGTAATACTTCACATAAGTATTCAAATCTTTTTACATAATTCTTTTGCAAATAATATTCTATGCATACGTTCAGTTTTGGTGTCATATGATTCTCTGGCGCTGGGAACAAGCAATTTGTTTATTTTAGCCTTGCTTTCAAATCGCGCGCACTTTTCGCTAAACACGATAGAGCATGTCAATTGTGTGATAACCTGTAAAAGCTTGTGTTCGTTCAAATGACGCTTATTCTTAAAGCTCAGCCTCGATTCGTTAAAAACGATTTCTCCTTTACTTTTTGCTCCAAAAGCGGTCCCGCCTGCTTCTAGACGATCTGTGCCGGGCCCTACCGCGACGCTGTAATTTTTGCTTTAAATAATATGCAAAATGCGGGACCAGTCCTGGGGTCCGTGCTGAACAGGTCTGCGGAGCCGTCGGAGCAGGCGCCGATTCGGGGTGCGTGAAGCGTACGGCTTCGTGCCCATTCTGCATACCTTGTCTCTTACTCGTTACTCCTTGAAGCAACGTGGAGATATAATTCAGCAGATGCAACCTAGCAATGAAGTTCAATCTCTAAGACGGAAGCAAACAGCAAAAAAGATGGGTGGTTTTCGAAGGTGAATGCTAATCGCAGATGATTAACGCATGAGCAAGCAGCGCCATCAATGGCTCAGCAGACAATGTATTGCAATTTTCCTCCACATACTTCGCCGGTAATGCATAAAAACAATTTTTATCCGGGGCTCGGCCCCGGAACACGCAAAAACGATATCCTCTTTGCTTTTGGTCCCAAAGACGGAGTCCAGCCTGCTTCCATCCGATCTGTGCCTGGGTGCATGCTAAAGCCTCCAGGGAAGCGGACGCTCTACTTCGTCCATAAGAAGTGCTTCAGCATACAGTCTGTTTCAATCCCGATCAGGCTAGAATTGGGGTGGCGGCGGTGCGCGTCGTTGGGGTTTTGCATCATGATTGCGGCCTGCTTCTCTATTCTTTCTTTCTCTCTTTCTCTTTTTCTCTCTTCCTCTCTCTCTCTCTCTCTCTCTCTGCTCTCTTCGCTCTCTCCGATAGTGCGTATATCAGACTGCTTGGCGAGCGCGCAAAATCCACGCTAACGCTTCGGCCTGCCCCGACTGGGACAAATACATGTGGTACAAACTGTAGCAGCGATGCTCAGGCACAGTCAGTGTCAAGACGTTTCCTGGCCGTATGCAACTGTCCTGATCTTCTTTAAAGGGAAGATTGAATGAAGCTGTACAGTCTAATGATATTTTGCAATTTATTAAGCTTTCTCTTCACTCACAACCTCCGAAATCAAGCTATCAAATAATCTCGTATCAACATCTAGTTCCGTAAGTAACTGTACAAGCTTGTCTGAAGGTTTGCCGCCTGGATAAATAGTGTCTTCTACGGATGTGTCAAGCAGCGAAATCCTGGAAAGCAACGAGTGCACTATGTCGCGCGAGCAATCGGTGAAGAAGTAGGATACTCACAGTCTCAGCAACACGCAGCACGTCAGCTTCAGTACATTGCTGGAAAAGTCAGTGATCGTATTCGGCTCAAGGTCAAATGTGGCTGCTATCATATAATGCCAGTTGGTCTCAGATGACGGAACGGCTAGTTCTCGTTGATAAGCGGTCATCCTGAATAAGCTAACAATGAGCATGAAACTAATCATATTAAAGGCACTGTCCACTCTAAGTTAGGGCTCTTGAGCTTTTGGCGGCCCCCTCCAGTAAGCCCGACCATGCGTGCAAACCCATCCGATCATTCCCGAGAACCGGCTTACTGGTTTCGGATTGTCGGAGTTTTCGCGGACTCTCGACTTCATATTCGGAATCAGAGACATGAGAAGGCCCCGGAACAATCAGAACCATAAGTCGAGAACTTAGGTGGATGGTCTTTGAGATGGCAAGCTCCAATAAACCGGAAGGAAAAGAAGACAATTGGTTGATAAATACGCTTACTGCTTTTTTATGGATTCAAGAAAGATGTGAAGCCTTTTTCTGCGAACATCTATTGAATCTACGTCGGGTAGTACACGATCATTCTGAAAGTGTGCATCAAACGCTGCCACGCAGACGCATAAAGATATGAAGCTGACCATTTCTGCTACATCATCGCTGTACGGACGATAGAACTGCTTCATTAGCGAGTCCACCTCCCCAGACACACTCAGACCTCCGGATCGAAGAAGCTGTCGGGTACGCTCAGTAGCCCAACCCCTGAATCTTCAATTTTGAACGAAACTTGGAAACTTACCACTGAACGGAAAATGATAGACTAGCATCGAAACTCTACCTCAACAGTGCTCGAACATCTTCAACAAGATGAGGTACAGCAGGAGAGAAGTGAGGTTCCGCACATGATTTTGTTGAAGTACCAGCTTCCATAGAATGATCGGTCTTCGATGCGTTCTCTTCCGATGCCTGCAAATGCTGTAATTAAGAATCTAGCTTGAAGGCAGGGTGAAACGATTGCTTTCCAACTTGTCAAAGACGGCGCGTTTCTTGCCTGCCACTTAGGAAGATCATTTCAACCTCATTCTCTGATCAGCAGGCAGTCTCAGATCATGGCAAAATGTTGACAGCAGCACAGCAACGATTTCCTTCCTCACCCTATCAGCTCAAACGCAACGCTAAAGCCTCATGCCGCGTTCGCGGGCGTACTGCTTGAGTGTTCAAAGCTGCCGCATTGACCGGAGGTCGCTGCACAATGCCCACGCGCCACGGTGAGTAGCTACTGCGGAAAAGGGAGCATATGGTTGACACCGACTGTACAATGAACCTAACTTTAAAAAACTACTCAAAGTGATTCTTTGTTTGGGAAATTCCCTGGGATCTAGTTTCGGCGCAGATCCATACAAATGCGTAACCCCTACCAACCCAGTACTAGCAGGGAAGGATGATCAGTCGAAGTGGCCTTTGGAGATATAATGTATACCATCTTGGAGGGTATAAAACGCTGATTCCAAATCTGTCTTCCTTATTTGCGGAGCTTTCTTAGGGAACGGCCATAGGTTGTCGGTGTTGTCGATGTTGTTGTCTGTGTTGTCGGTGTTGTCGATGTTGTCGGTGTTGTCGGGGTTGTCGGGGTTGCCGAGGTTGCCGGTCGTTGTAGGACCTCATGATAGCCTCCATGTTTCGCGCGCTCTCTAAATTGTCTCTGACTCCGACAACCCCGACAACACCGACAACACTGACAACACCGACAACATCGACAACCTATGGCCGTTCCCTTGGACGAGGGGTTATGAGCATTTATCGGGGGTAAAAAATTGAAGGTGGAAATAAGGTAAAAATATCCGTAGCCTTCTCCCTATCGCTGAAATGGAGCAGTGACAAATATCAGAACACTTTAGGCAATAAATACTCTTAGATAAAATATGCCCACACTCCGCTGCCTCATTTGAGCGTTGGGAGAATTTCAGCAAGCGCTTTTCCCTAGATTTTTTGAATTTGCTCTGCATTAAATTTTTTGCTCCAATAAACACTCATGACTCCTCATGAACGCACTGCAGATATGGAAGACAGGTTTGGAAGCAGCTTTTTTGTCCTGCAGGATGGTATACTTCACATCTTAGAATGCCACTTCGGCTGAACATCCTTCCCTCGTAAGAAAATGGTGGGAATTCTGTGGTGGCCTTATTTTGTCTCATGAAGGCTCGTCTTTCTCACATAGCTGGCACACGAGCGTCCCGGATACACGGTACAGTAAGTTTCATCCCAGTTTGAGCGGAAATTAGATTGGCGGGTCTCGCAGTTTCGCAGCTACAGTACAACATGGGACCAGTGGTCCTCGGAGGCGGTGCCTAATTGAGGTGTTCGTTCCTCCACTCCATATTGTCCTAGAAACCCATGTCTGCGTCCTTTCATTCTCCTCAGTCTCTACTTGGCAAAACCAGCGGTGCGCTCGCGTAGCCTTTAGCAGTGCGGACGCGCTGCTTTAAATGAGATATATCGCCTACCCTAGTCTGAAACGGCGTGTATAACCTTATGACATGGTTCGTTGACGCTATACGTGGATCATCGTCAAATTCTTAGAGAATCTATATGTTATTGACGTTTGATTGCCCCAACAATAGTTGAATATCTTAACAACGCAAGCGGGAAAACCTCCACTTACCTTTTTGGGCGAAGTTGGCGAGGCTGGAACGGGTTCGACTAATATTGGCTTCTTCTTGCACCAATCCTTGGAGTACTTTGACCTTAATAAACAAAAATTAAATTATTACTTTCATAATTCTTCAATGGATACCTCAATCGCGCAATCTTTTCTAACTCATCAGTAGTGAAAGTAACATCCTCAGCCATTTGAGGATCAGGAAGCCTAGGATTATAAGCGTGCTCAGGAGTCTTTGATGCAGTCTTGCCACTGGATGCGATGGATGAGGGCGATGATATAATGGGTGACTCAGGTGAAGGCTTCACTGTATTTCCAGCACTGTCTAAACTCTTCCTAGAGGTGATTTTTGGCGAAATCTTCGTATCTGACGGATTATCCCGCTTAGCAGCAGGGCTGGTCTTCGGAGTTGACTTGGAAGAGATGTTTACTTTTACTTCCTTCCTGTTCTTTTCAAGATCCTCTGCACCTATGATATCAGCGACCTCGTCAAGGAATCCTTTTACGTCCTAAAACGAGCTCAGAATTTTCAAAGGAAGGTAAGAGAATCAGCACACCTAAATAAGTGATTATCTATAGATCATACCGTCTCGCTTTCATCGTTGTCTTCGGTCTCAGACTCCGTAGACGAATCAGCTTCCCTAATCTTCAGTTCGTTGAGCTTCTGTTGCTCCGCGCTGACAATTTCTATCTCCTTCTTTTCCGGCTTTTCGAGTTCTTCAGGTCCATCGATACGATAACAGGAAGCTAAAAAAGTGGTGATAAACGATGACTAAAGAGGCGAGACGGTCGCAAATGAGGCTTACTCAGTCTTTCTGAAAAATCTCCAGAAAGCCACAAAGGCTCTTCTGGGAGCTGTGCCCGAACAGAAGCCGACCGCATCAGACAAAAACGCGAGCAGTACATATCAGTTTCAATGCGATGCTCGTAGATCTATAGAAAGTTCAGTGAGCAAACTTGTACTGAAATAAACCATTGATAAATCTATAATCACCTTGCGAGCAACTCTATCAATGTGGTATCTTTGCTTCCTCATTCTAGCCTCGATGACTTCACCACAGAGTGGAAAACCACATAAGCGCGGGTTTCCCAAATAACGTTCTTCAACAAGTTCATCCCAAGCGCCGCAATGTAGGAAGGGAAGCTGTTGCAAAAGAAAATGATTAAATTCTTTTCGGATGTTACAAACTGCTTACCAAACTTCTCAGTGAGTTCTCAGAGACAATTTCTGACAGCTGCACAATCGTATCATGTACAGCCCTTCGCAGAGCAGCGTCTTTCACCACGGCAGCGGCTTAAAAGTACTTTTTAGTTGCGGATTGCTGGTGCTTTCACGATTCATGCAAACCGTGTGCATCTTTTGGAGGTGGTGGTGAGTTGGCCTCCTTTATCAGTTCGAGCTGAATTGCAGTCAGTTGTACATCTTGGTCGGCTGTGGATGCAGTAGGACTAGACAGCAACTGAAACAAACTTCAGTATACCAACATCAACATTCAAAAAAATCTGATATTCTACCCATGGCAACCTATGGTGCAAGCATGAATTTTGCTTGAACTTTGTGTAAAAACAAAAATAACTGTTAGCTTGAGTATCTGTTCACCCCGCATCTTTCGCACATCTGCGCATCCTTTGACCATTGATAGCCAGGTGGTAAGAAAGATTCAATCCCTCTGCTTGATAAGCTTTCTACAAAGTGTCACAGCGCGCAACGATTGTGCTGCATCAAAACAGTGATCCAGCGTTACGGCTTCAAGGAACTTTGCAAGGAAACCATTTCAATTCCGTATTTGATCCACACGATCCGCTTGATCCACTTCAGCCGCTTCGCTATTGGTCACATCAGCGAACTGACCAATGGCGAAGTGGAGAAGTGGATCACGATCAAGTGGACAACCGCTTCGCTATTGGTCAGTTCACTGAACTGAGCGGATGACGAAGCGCATCAAGCGGATCAAGTATGGAGCGTACCTTACGTAAATTCAACTTTGATATCTAGAAGATGTTCAACAGATTTTTTGCCGCTCTTAGCGCAGTAATTTCAAACTCAAATAAAAAAGAAAACATGAGATAGACTGACCACGTCCATTCTCTATAATCTCGCTGCACCAAAGGTCCGACAATTGTGTTTGATCACACCCTCGACATGGATTCTCACCTTTAGGGGAGAAATATTGTACGGACTTTCTGTAAAAGGGAAGTGCCGAGTGATATTTAATGACCTGTCATACTTCGCCCAAAAGCGCCAAAAAGCGGCAGAACGCCCCCTGTCGCCTTCGAGGGTAGATTTTGGCACTAAGGCATGTTTTGATTGCGCAACTCAATCTTTTTGCTTCGTTTTCTCTCGCTCTAGACCAAAGCATTGTCAAAATTCTACTGAAAGGTTCATACAAGCCAAATCGAACCAACACTGTAACACAGGACTTTGCTTAGGTTTTCAAGAAATTGCTAGGTAATTTAGAAACTCATGCAACCGAACTATTTTGTTTTGTGTTCGTTATTCTCTGATACCTGACGCTGTCTGATTCAAACTTTCCTTTCCTCTAGTTGATGTCAGGAGCTTACGAGCATTGCTGCATCTTCATAATCTTGAAGAAACTTAAGAAGCAAATGTCCAGGCAATGTTCCAACAGATGTTGTGTAGCCAGTTATTTTTCCGAGAGGGGGCTTATGGCGATTATCGGCGCTTTTGGGGGCTTTTCGGGGGTTAAGCGCTTTTTGGCGTTTCTAAGGGATTTTGAGCAAAGTATGACAGGTCCCTATGAAACTCTGGATACGAAGCTCATACGGAAACAAAATTAGCGAACCAACACGAACTCATCCGCTGAGGAACTGCGGGCCGAAAAAATTGCAAGATGAAATTTCGCAGCAGTTTGAATTGGCGCCGATTTTTGGAGTCCGAGCACGTTTCTCCGATATGAATTGCAAAAATTTTTGTCGGCACATGTTGCTGAGTTTTTTGGAGTTTCAAGCAAATGAGCCTGTTGTATCTCTTTGTTGCGTTTTTACTGCACTGAAAGGGTTGGTTGAAGATTTTTGAAGTCAGCGCTTTTGTGAGACGCTTGTGTGCGCTGTTGTTCTATTCGATTGTTTTTGTTGCAGTGTTGACAGTATGTTTTTGCTAGCTTATAATCTGTCTCTGCAAGTGTAATGTCTGTCAAGCTTCTACCGTTCTGTATTGAGTCTCATGTATTTATGGCTCGCACATAGCATTAACATTACACATAATATGCATTGACTTTTTATCGATCCATTAAGCTAATCATATCACTCATGCAAACTTGTTCCAAAATTTTTTCAATCTCCATTGCTCTGTTCACCTTTGCTAATTTTTATAATTTTCTAACGAAAAAATGGAAGAACATTTGAGCTTGTATTCCGAAATTTTGGCTTGTGATGATCACATAATCATAACTTCATAGTCTCTCAATCATTATATTCCGTTTCCCTCATAACTCGCTGTAACACAAGCGAATCAAGCTCGTTCGCTTCAAGTCTGATTGCAGTCTGCTGAGCTTTGGCCTCAAAAGGGGATAAATTCAAAGAGGATGTCGTCTTCCGATGAGGACGCCTTCCCAGTCGACCGAGATGCTGCTATGGAAGCCATCGGGAAAATGATCGATGCAGAGGGCCTCGAAAAGTTAACTAGTTCAAAGATTCGCGCGCATCTCGCTGTACGCTCGTTTTCACTTAATCTGCAAAAAAACCCTCACGTTCCACTCGCTCTCTTTTTCCAGTCAACGTTCAATAAGGATTTTGACGACTTTCGCAAAGAAGTAGACGAGTTGACAAGACAAACGATTGAAAGAAGGGAGAAGACTAAGGAGTCGCCTGCTACGAATGGTAAAGATGCCGAAGAACAGAAGTATGAACTGCTTAAGAACTATGTCTTTACGATACTGGTCTGTCAAGCATCTAGTGGCGCTATTCAGAACCGTGAAACTTGAAAAACCGGCTTCCTCCGACTCTGATAGCGATTCTGATGATGTGGTTGATGACATGAGAGCATCCACCAAGAAGAAGAGTAGATCAAGGAAAAGAAAGGTGTGTTTGTTTTGGCACTCTCAACATGTTATCGTCGAGCTTTACCAGTAATTTTCGTTTTGCACATATTATTTTCCAAGTTGTCTATTTTTGTTGACTATATGCTCGTAGCCATAGTGCTGATTCACTCCGCGATCGCCGCTTCAGGTCGATGATGTTGGCGAAGTGGATCTTATGACTGCAGTGAAGCATTGTCGTCGTGCGGCTGCGGACAGAGCAAATCAAGTCCTCAAAAAGACCGCGGATCGTTCTAGAGTGTGTTTGATCTTCGTGCTATTCACATATTTATTTTTGCTTTTTATTGCGCAATCGAAAGCGAAATTGGTGCAAAAATGGCTTATTGCTTTATTTGTTTAGTCGAAGAAGAAGAAAGACAAAAACGCTCCGAAAAAGGATAATTCGGGAAAATTCGGTCGCATGACCAAACTATGTCTGCTCAGTGAGGAATTGCAAGGCATTGTAGGCGCTCGCTTTATGAAAAGATGTGATGTAAGTCTCTTAGATCCTGTATTTTCGTATGTTCCAAATTTACTGACATTTAGGTCATCGCGAAGATGTGGGAGTACATCAAAACAAATAATCTCTTCGATCCGAAAGATAAGCGCTTCTTTTTTGTGGACGACAAGCTGCGAAGTGTGTTCCAAGGCAAACGTTTCAGAGCATTTTCGTAGGTTTCTTCCACTTTTTTCTTCAGGGTCCTATAGCTTGGGTTGCTTAGTAGTTTTACTACTTGCACCAATAATCCTTCCAAGTTTCTTTTACGCTACTGCAAGCGGCGTGACCTGCTTGTCTTTCATTTCTCTTCCGACCACCATTTTTAGCGTTTGACTGTTTATGACCATGACGAATAGCTCTCATTTCACCTAGATATATGAGAACCATCTTCTTGCGGTCCTCTGCTGTGTTCCACATAAACCTAGATCAACTTTGATGCCTTGTGAGTCTGTAGTAATCATTAAGTGCATCAATTCTCGCCATCCATAGGGGGGGGGGGGTCTTTCTGAAGTTGGTGGAAGACAGGAGAGGGGAGGAGAATTGAATTTTTTCAACCGCCATAGTTGTCTTGCCTGCTACCATTGTCCATGTACACGAATGTGCAGTTACTTATCGTGCTGTGCAGATGGTGTTCCGACAGAGCTCTTCAATTTGTCGCTAACATGCCTGCGAAGTCAAACACTGCAGATAACGAGTGAGTAGCAACACCTCACAAAACAAAGTCAGTTGCGGTAGTTAGACTTATGTCATTATATCAGTGCTTAAAAATAACCATCATAAAGTTTAATTATGTAAGTCTGACCTTAGAGTATCCATTTTCCCTTGCTAAACTTTTTTTTTTCAAACCATCTTATCCTTTCGTCTCATTCTTTCCTAATAGGTCTATATGTTTTCAACAGTGTTAATTCGTCAAATTTCAGAGGAAACGAACCCTAAGTATTGATTGGTCGGTAACGTTGCTTAATTTGCATATGGATATTCTGTGAATCTTATCCCACCGGAGGTGATCGGTCTAGAAACAAGAACAAGCACGTGTGCGAAAGTGCCATCACCTCAAGGGCGCAACGCGGTGGTTATAATCACCCTCGCTGTACGCACGCTCCTGCGATATTGCATACAGTCTTCTTCAACCTGGATTAGGCGAAGCATTCCAAGTGGAGCAGCGCGTCCGCACCGCCACTCGCTCAGCGAGATAGGTTAGAGTGAAGAGACGCAGACTGCAAAATGGCGCGAATCGTTGCGAAGCGGACTACCGCCAGTCCAATTTCCGCCTAAATTAAGTTGACACTTACTATACACAGGTACCCACCACACCTTATCCACATACGCTCGATATTGGTCAACTGAATTGAACAGTAATGAGCTTGTGAAATGGATCAAGTAGATCGAGATTACGCCTGCATTAGTGCGTATATCGGCAGAGGACGCCGTGGTGGTTTCGACAACGAACCCAGTGATTTATTGATCACAAGTTCTTGTGGTGCCGTTGGTCAAGTACCTATAACATTGTGCGAAATCTGGGTTCGCATGTAATCCGTTGCGATTTCTGTTCCATACTTGGTTCTTTAAAGCCGAGTGCTCGAACCCACAGGATCTGGGTAAATTGTTTCGTAAGTACCGGTCGCTCGACTTTTCGAAAAACCGGTCAAGTGGTTTTTTGGGTTCCGGTAGGTCTTAATCCACTGGGTTCCGGAACCCATTAGTTTTGTGGATTTGAGTGGTACAGTAAATAACCTTTGATTCAACTGGCTTGGCTTCAAGAAGGCGAGGCTTTGTGACGTAAATGAGGCCGCTCGCGTTCGCGACGCGCCTGCGTCTCTCTCGCGCGAGTGCTCTCTGATCATCATCTAGCCTTAATTAGATCACGAAGCCCCGCCTTCCCGAAGCCGAGCCAGTTAAATCAAATGGTATATAATTTGTTTTCATGGGTTGAAGGCATTGTCCAGCCAAAAGGTGGTCGATGAGACTTTGATGCTCAACAGTAACGGGGCCTCCAGTTGTATACTTGCACAACTCGCTCTGCTAAAGGTTGCTTTCGAAGCAAAATTGCTTTGAAAACTCCTTCGGATGACAGATTCGCCACGTTGCGCACATCAACGAACTCAATGGGTTCCGTTACCAAGAGGGTAAGCGAAAATAGTGTCACTGAGTTGAATCGATATTCACATAAAGCACTGCTGGGTTCGCGAACCCACTATCTTCAAATACAGATCTCGTGGGTTAAGCCTACCCACTGGATGGCGGAGAACCCACTGGGTTTGTTCATGAATACGGTCACTGCAGAACTCGCCCTGCGGGTTTCTGAAACGCGAACGTTGAGGTTTTGGATTCTTGACTTGATATTCGGAATCAGGGACATGAGAAGGCCCTGGGACGACAAGAAATGGAAGTCGGAATTTGGGTGGGCGGTGCCTTCAAGCCTACCCAGTGAGTTCCGAAACCCGCTGAGTTCGTTTGAAACGGCCGCGGAATACTTCGTTCGTAGTCCGTCTTTCTCGTCGCAGTATGCAACTTGAAAGTATGTCTTGCCGACGTGCACCTATAAACGCAACACTGTTCTGCCTTTTGAAAAGTACAATCGGTGGTGAGATTCTAGTATGGTACAATAGCGGGGCTTCTAACTAACCAATTGCACAAGTTTTGCTGCAAAAAAATCGATCTCTGTGAGAAAATCATTCCAGAAAGTACCTGTGGACTAGCCCTCCCGCAAATCAGCATAGGTGGTCCAAAAGTACTTTGTGATAAATTGGGTTTCATATAGCTATGACTGTCAAAATGCTTTTTGTAACCAAAGACTGATTTCTGATATATCGGTAGCGGTCCCAAGATTTTCGTCCGAGGGGGGGGGGCAAAAAAAATTTTCCAATTTGGGGTGGTTCTCGAAATTTTTGCGGGTCCCCAACCGAAAAATTTCTTTTACAAGGTTATTAAAAATTATTTTTAATGGTTTACAAGGATAAACAAGTCATCGCGGGGGGAGGGGCGGAGGGCGCCTCCTCCCCCCGCCCCTCCCTCGGTCCGCCACTGCTAGCTATGAAGCTTCGGCACACCTTACTTCCAGACTAACTAACGTTAATTCGGTAATTTTTGGAGCGATTTTCTGCTTGATTTCTTATTTTACAGCGGCACTCATGCATTTATCTGTTATGTGCTACCATACTAGAATCTCAAACCCTCAGTTTCGATGGACGATGCCTTGAAGTTCAGAAGGATGCGAATAATTGCCACCACACTGTGTAATGAAAGTCTACATTATGGCAGATCTTTTGAGTGGCCGTACTCTTTTCTTATGGTCTAAAGCTGTAACATTTTACAACTTCGCGATCATTTCTGACAGCAGCTGTCCAAAATGACTTAATGCATCAGTATATGCCTGGAATTAGACGCTGCTAGTCCGCCTACTCTCCAGATGAAGTACCCGTTCTGCTTTTCATGCGCCAGAGTTGCTTTATGGTCTTGTCGGTTATTTTCCGCAAGAGGACGCAGCCAAGGAGCTTCTGTTTTAGGTTTTTCTGATGTACGTTCACACTGTGTATAACCAGTTCGTTTCTCTGCTGCTACAAACGTCTGTCAATACTAGTAACGCTTTCGAATGCTCTTTACAAAGCGTTTTATATGGCTGGACATGACGATGTCCTAAGTCGTATTTTCCCAAAAGTGCAGTCATTCATATGAAATTTATGAAGCCAGACTCAGAGTTAGCATGGCTATGCCTTTTAAGAGCTTTGCGCCATGATTGTGACTGCGTTATATTCATGTAACATTTTTTTGGCAGGAATTAGGTTTTCTCGGGGTTGCTGAGGCGTTATGAAGATATGAAGACTGAGTAGATGCAAAACCTTGTATTCGTAGTCATTTGATGTTGGTTTCCTTGAACGACTTTTAAAGGCAGTGGCTCGGCAAAATGGACCCTGTCCAGTTTTGATGCTATTGGGTATAGCCCCCCCCCCCCCCAAGTACACCATATCCCTAACCCACCCTGCAATTTATGCGCTAAGCATGAAAAGGCGCTTCAAACCACCAATTACCCCCACTCATTGGAAGTGGGCGGGGCTGGTGAAGTTACAAAACACTTTTTCAGGTCTTAGCGCATGATTTGCAGGGTGTAGTTGGGGCTATGGTGTACTTGGTCTAAGAAAGCTACTTTCACTATATCTGGCTACTTTTAAGCATGTCGAAGCCACTGGCTAAGCACATCAAGGATACTGCAGCGTTAGGAGGTGAAATCGAGCAAGAAGCCCTTGCGGAAGAAGCACGACTCAGAGCTGAATGGCTGGTATGATTTATATGCATAGTTTTCATCCGTGACAGTTGATTGCAATGCACATATACCTTTCAAGGCTCGCCAAAAAGCATCCAATGAAAGCGGCATCGAGTCGAGGAGCACCGAATCGCCGCAGATTGCCGATTCCCCACAAAGCAACGGTTCGCCACAAAGTGCCGTTTCCCCACAAAATGAAGCGCAGGTAAAGACGGCGTCGTCCGACGAGGTGTCTGATTAATCCGGCAAATATGTTGTGATATGTTGCATTCGAACTCGTGACTCACTTCGTTTTTGTTCGACTTCCATTACAGTATTGTCTCACTCTTGTTAGTGTTGATTACATCATATCTTGAGCTGGGTTACAGATATCAATTTTTTTACGACGCCGTCTTTCTACTGCACACGTCTGCTTAATCTCTGGGTACATTTCAGATTTACATGTCGTTAGATTCAAGTGTTTGATCCTCACCTTATAGTGTATGATAATGCGCCGTATATGATTATTTCTAGCGTTGCAAAAGGTTTTATCGTTTTATTGCTTCATTAGAACGTGGTGAGCATCATTTCACTCCAGTTTTATCAATTTTTGAGTTTCATCTGTTTTATCATCATGCGTTTGAAGTTTCTAATAATTAGTAATAATGTCCTTGGTGTACAAAGCACCTACACTCTGACGGCGTATCTTCTTATTGTCGTTTATACCGCGTTGTTTTTATCGTTATTGTCGTTTTAAAGCGAAAGTTGATTGAATTCTAAGAAGTTATGTGTTCCTTGCTTTGTTCAAGCGGTTTCGCTGTTGAATATCATTCGTTTCGGCGCTACTGTTCTTTCGTCCAGTTTCACCTTGGACTGTTTTAATCATTTCCAGCCTGTAAGCGGCTTTTCGCAGATCGCTGGTGAGGCCTGCGACGCATTGTAATGCCGGTCGAGGAGAGAAAAGCGAGAGGATCTCCAGTTGGTGAGTGCACCGTTAAGAGTTTTGATGTAGGTTGTGAACTTATTTCAGGGAACTTCTTCGCCAAGTTGGGTCGTAGGGTTCGAAGCAAGAGTCCAGCAGTAACTCGTTTGGTTACTACAGAAACACCCAAGGGAAAGGACAAGCGCGGTGGAACTATCGATGTCCTTTGCAAAGATCATGAATTAGATGGGTGAGTGGCTCAAGTATATTTTTCGCCTTGACATCTTTCTTACATTGAAAATGCCTTTTTTCTCTCCTTCCACTGCATCATATATCATCTCTTAGCTGGCAATACACGATCATTTTCTTCATATTGGTTAAATCAATTGAATTTCAACTGCTCTTTGCCGATAGTCCGATAGCTCTCTCTCTCTCTTTCTCTTTCTCTCTCTCGCTCCTCTCCTTTGGGTTTCTCTTTCCCAGTGGCGGTCCCAGGATATTGGACCGGGGGGGGGGGGGCAACAAAAATTTTTTTCCAATGAAGGTGCGTGGCGTTAGCCACGCACTCCAAAAAATCTTTTGGGGTGCTTCTCAAAATTTTTGCGGGTCACCAACCCCCATTTGGAAAAGGGGGCTGACGCCACGCCCCCGAAAAAATTTTTTACAAGAATAATTTGTTCTAAAAAATTTTAGAAATTATTTTAATTATTTATGAATGATTTGTGGAGATTATTGCTTCTTCGAGCAATTTTCCTTTTGTAGAATGCTCTTCGCAAAAATGTTCTCAGCAACAGGAAATTTATTTAGAAATATTTTTAGTCAAGCCTAAGCCCTATATGTATCTGCCCCGACCCACTTGCTAGCGACCCGTAGGGTCGCTAGTTTCTAAAAAATTTTAGAAATTATTTTAATTATTTACAAGTATAGAGAAGTCACTTGCACATTTTTATAACTCATATAAGTAACTTTTAAAAATCTCGCGACCCATCCCCGGGGGAGGGCCCCCCCCCCCACCCCCCTCGGTCTGCCACTTTTTCTCTGTTTTTCTCTGTCTCTCTCTGTCTCGTTCTATCTTATTGTCTTGTCTCTGTTTGTTTCTGTCTCTCTCTCCTTCTTTCTGTCTCTCTGTCACTCTCTTTCTTTCTTTCTTTCTTTTCTCTCTCTCTCTCTCTCTCTCTCTCTCTTTCTTTCTATGATAGTATCGGATTGACAGTACTCGAAATAGATGTTTTAACTCATGGTACGGCTAATTGAAGAGATTGACTTGTATGAGGGATAAAGCGTCTACCCAGATTTTCGACTCCATGTTTTGGTCGTTTCTCCTTGTCATGTCGCTGATTCCGAATATGAAGTCGAGAGTCCATGAAAAATCCAACAATCCTCATCCCGAAACGGTGATTGGATGGGCGAATGGGGGGGGGGGGGAGGCGGTGCCGCCTAGGGTCCTTTCGCCTTGTCGTTATTCCGGAGCAATTTCCTCGCTTCGGAAGCGACATTTTGCACCGCTACTTGGGCATCTTGATAGGGGTCTTACTATCATATGCTGCCAAAAGCTCAAGACCCTTGACTTGGGGTAAATTGCGGTGCCTTCACTTACAATGAATGGGCACGATGGCAGCTTTTCAGATGATTTAATAGAATTAAAAGTGTAGTAATGCTGAACAGTACGTAGTACAGCACGGTCATGGAATGCATTATGCCTTCCATATACCACGGCTTCATATGCAGACTTTAGAACACCGTTATGTTGAACGCCCCTTCCACCGAGGTTGGCGAGATTGAACAGCCAAGTCCCTAACTGAGTAACTGCTCAGCAGCTGCAAAATGTGAATTCTGAAGCGAGAAAATTGCTCCGAAAGGTGGGTAGCAGAGGCTTTAGGCGTTGGAGTAAATGTACTCGGCTCCAGAGTCCCTAGAGTAATCTGTTTACGATGAAAGGCAGATTCTCAGCAAGGTTCACTTTCAGACCACCTACAGTGATGGGGAGAGGGGTGGGGGGCGTGGACCACCCTGCCGCATGTGCGCGAAGGATTTTGTTCGTCGTAATCTAGCTCTTGCGGTGACGAGCAGTTGCTTAGTGAGAGGGTCGTGCTATCGCATCTCTTCAGAATCTCAGCAAACCCAGATTTAAGGACGATGTCTTTGACCAGTGATTTTTTCGAGTAGCCCAAGAATCAAAATAGTAATTGGGATTTGTAGAGAGAAAAGTTTTCATTCAAAGCGTGTTGCGCTGCTTGCAATATGTGACCAACACGAGCTGCGCTCTGTATGCTGTATCGTGGTGAAGTGCTTAGGTAGAAATCAAACTTGGGAATTACTTCTTTTAACATTCCTTTGAGACGAAACTTCGCAGTGGTGCTTGTTTGTCATATAGTAACTACCAGAATCTGCACTATCACTCAGACACTTGGAGTGTGCGGTGCACGCGCGTTTATGGTCTATGCGGCAAAGCGCGTGCCTTATTTGTGGGCGTGTCCAGCAGTAGTCAAACGTGTGCCATCCTAGACGGTGCATGCGGCTTGCGTTTTAATGGCCAAACCGCGACCCCGCGCTAGGTTTATGCTCTATCTCGCGACCCGCGCGCCTAATTTTGTAGCACGCCGCGCGCGTGCCTTTATACTCTATCCGTGCGGACCGCGCGCCTGCAATTATCACATGCTGTAAGCACAAGGGATACTCGCGTAGTGTACTACGACGCAGTGATTAGGCTGCCCCATTATTCAAGAGGTTAGGTATTACATCTAGGTGCATGAATAGTCGCGGAAGTAGAAGTTTTTTGCTTCCAAGCGTTAGCCTTCGGAAGCATTGAGAATGGATGCTGGATCTGAATTTTTTGATTCAAGTACGAATTCATATTTTTGGCGTATGAAGTGTGGAGATTATTATCAAGACCTGCGTATACAGCGCAATGAAAAACTGAAAAAATGCAGCCATCCGCGGGCCAGCACCAGCGGCGCGGCATCCAATGTCCCGCCATCCGCGCACTGGGTGTTGCGCCACCGTGTGACTGCGCGCGCGCTGCACGCTCCAACTGTCTGAGCATGTATACGCGAGAAACAATTCACAGATATGGAAGTTTCATATGCTGATTTGCGGAAACCTAATGGACCTTCAGGATGTCAAAAATCTGAATTGTCATGTCAAAAATCTAAATTTTACAATAAAAGACAGATTTTCCGTCCGGCCCTGTCAATAATATATTCGTATTTCGCATGCTCACTTGCCCTTCTGTGCCAGCTTCCAGCCCCGCTGCTCGAACTTTGCAAGAAATCGATGAAATCGATATCAATCGATATCGAAAAGTAGCCCACGACACCCCCCCCCCTGAAATGTATGTGCGCAACGTTTGGTCCGGATCGATTCAGAAATGAGATTTTTTCACGGAACATACGTACAGACACACATACAAACAAACAGGCCCAGCTTTATTTCATAAGATTGAGAGCACGTTTTCAGATTTGAAGCTACACAAAGCCCACATCGATTTGGTACAATCATAAGTCGACTTTCCAGAAGAAAATCAAAGAAGAGCGAAAAGGTACTGTTATCTGGTGGCATTCTTTTGGCCCTCAAGTGATATTTAGGAAGAGAATCATGTCTTATCACCCGAATGTGAGACCATCTCGGTGCCTCAACAGAATTTCGGTACTCCTCGTCCAGCGATCAGCGAGAATGATCTCCGTCACGTGACTCTCCGTCGTGGAACGGTATGCGACTCTCCTACGGTAGTATATGCAGATTTGTACAGGTGCAAATGATGTATTGGGACTTTCATTCTATCCTTGAGTCACTGCATTTCGACTCTGATCTGTTCTCTTCGAGACTTTTGGCTTGGTAAATATTGGCGTAAGCCTGTCATTTGATATGCTAGGTTTGGCAGACTTTCTCACTTGTAATTCTCCACGCTCCGCTTTTCCTCTTGTGGTCTCTTTTTGCTCTTCTCCGTGATATTAAAATGTCTTTGATCCTTTGATCACTCTAGAATGTAGTTATTCTATCTAGCAAGTGGGTGATGACAGTGCATCCGAGTGTAAACAGAGGAACGCCGAAGTGCTTGACTATAGCAGCTTTAGTATGGAAGAAACAAATGCGTTCAAGCAAAGGAACATAAATTTGGACGTTGTTTTTCGTCCATTCGGGTCGTGGTGTGAGCGCTTGTACATATGGGTTTTGTAATAGGCAAATGTCTTTGCACCCCCATTTCGCGCCATATCCATTAATGCTCTGTTTTTCGTCCTGTAAGCGCTGTAATCCCTATTCTCTTGTATGTCAAAGTTCCTACTAATATTGATTACTAATGAATTTTTACGATCTTAGAAATCTTCAAATTTCTATCTCCCATACCGAAACTGTTGATGGAATCAAGATAGCAGCAGTTAAGATTCTTTGCAAATGGTTCATCTAAACAATGTTCTCTTGCTAACTGTAAGAGGCAAGCGCACCAATCATTTCTCAAAATCTAATTTCCATGAGTTTTTCGCTTGCTCCAGCTATAGGCGACTCGTACAAAAACGTGAACCATACTAAAAGTGCGTTAAACGGCGCATTTCGTCATCGAAATATTCATGTTCGCTTTTGTGATATCGATAGTTTCGCATCAGAAATATGTGCCTGTGAAAGTTATGCCCCCCCCCCCTCTGCTTTACGTACATAATCTACAGGTCCTCAAGTAAGGAATGACGTATATGCATCATGGTTCATGTTCCACCTATTCTAGGGTTATGCTCGGATTTACGACTTGATTCTTTGGCGCTGCAAGTTTTCTAGTTTCGTATGGTCGAAAAGTGGCCGTAATCTTGGGAAGGCTCCTCCACCTTGGCTTCTCAATTGTTGTTTACTCTTGCTTTTTCTATCGCATTCTTTCTGTAAGTGGTGACAATAAGTGTTGTTCTAAGCTAACGACGTTAATGTGTTGCGACAGGCATATCCATCACATCCTGTCACTTGCCTTCTTCCAGTTCGCGCGCGCTATCACATGCATTAAGTAATTAGCTTCTATGACCGTAATGGATAGGATCATCGCTGCTAATCCGTGACTTATAATGCGCTTAGGTCCCAACTATCTTGTGTAACCTTTTATTTTCTAGTAATGGTATGACCTAAACTTTGTTTTGACCCGGGGCCTCATATTTTGCGCCTAGTCGGCGCTCGTCACTCACATCTTGCAAGTCGAATATCTCATCAATGGGTATCCACAAAAATTACATATGCATCTTCATGCATTTGTTGTGACCCGAGCCCAGAAGCCCCAGAAAAACATTCAAAAGGGAGAAAGTTGTACTCAAATTCTCCGGCACAATATCACTTTTTTATTTCTTAGGAAGTGTGTTGTTTGTGTTGAATGGATAGAGCATTTGTTTTCAATAATACGACTTAATCATGAAAATGATGTTTGTTTAATTCATTTGGAAAGCATAATCTAGCTCTTGTCGACGTCTTTGATTATAAGACTTGATTGTAAGACTGCGAGCAGAAGCTTTCTGTCTCGAATTTCTAGTTTTCAGAGGTTTAGCGAACTTCTGCGCTAGTATGCTGCGCTTAGTGTTGATGAACATTAACAATGACCCATTTTTGTACATCGCATCAGAACAGCAATTTTCGCCTATCAGTTAGTGACTTTTGGTGTCAAATTTCTTTGCAAAGCATGACTTTTTTCTATTGTCGCAATGCTACGAATATGGAGCAAAAACACCTGTCGTTCTTGTAAAATTGCTCCCATTATCATTTTTCGTTGTTTTTCCTACTTTTCCGTTAATTCGAAAAGACATATACCATTAACTCAAGGAAATCTATTTCATTGAAAGTATTCTTGGAATCTTTGTCTCCGCGTTGTTTCCTACTCAGATTGTCTTGCATCGTTTCGATGCACCTCTCAAACGCGTTTCATTCACATTGTGGACATCTGCAAATGCCATTGTGTAGTAAAATCTAGTTTTTCGCATGCTTTTTACGGCAAACAAAGCCTCATCCTTGACACCTGTTTTGTTTTTCTGCTGCCAAGCTATTGTGTGGTCTGTCCGCAGCTGAAAATTGATAGCCAAGTTGAAGTCCTCTCAAATGCTATGTTCCGATTGTCCAGCTTTTTGCTATAGGTTAAATTCGTCGTGGCAAAGAGCTTTATGTAGATTGCTGCGTCGTCCCATTGTGTTGCCTAGTTTTACGAATGTTTTGCTTTTTAATTAGATTGCATTTGTGTGCGTGTAGCCATATGTAGAAGTTCCTGTTTACGTCATCCTAGCGACGTCCAGCTTGTGCTGAATACATTTTCATGATTGGTGGGACACGCGAGCGCTCAGATATTTGTTGCTTCAGTGCTATAGATGTAAAATTGCTGAGGTGTCTTTATTTTACCTCGGTCTTCAAAAGAACTGTTTTGGATATTTTTTTTTTGATTTTTGAGCTGCTTTATATCTCCCGAAACTGTTAGGTTGGGCCACAGTTGTTTCGTTTTACTTCCTCTCGCGATAAGTTATGTTCTGTTTGCTTTCTGAATAGGTCTCAGGATTTCGTCCGTAGAGGGGAGGGGGGGCAAAAATTTTCTTCAAAAGGTGCGTGGCTCAGCCACGCACTCCGAAAATTTTTTAGGGGTGCTTCCCATGATTTTTGCGGGTCCGCAACCCCTAAAATCTGGAAAAAGGGAGCGTGATTATAAGGCTAATCAGAGGTTTTTAAAAAATTAAAAAGTTTTTCAATTGTTCACAAGTATAAAGAAGTCACTTGCACTTTTTTATAACCCACGTAAGTAAATAAGTAAAAATTTCGCAACCCATTCTCGGGGAGGGGGCCTTCCGCCACTGGTATACGTACCCTTCGATGCAAAGCAAGCTATGCAAGGGTACTTAAAGATAGGCACAACGTTTGTTAATCTAATGTTCGAAGATTTGAAAAGATTCAAAAAATCCAAGTGCTCGAAACTGAGAAAAAAATTATTTCTCTGTCCAGAAAGATCCAAGGAGTTCTTACTTACCCAGAGATACTCTTCAGTGCGGGCAGTATATGTACATTTGCTGTATCTTTATTCATTTCTTATGGAGAACGCGGCTGGGCTAAAATAGGCCTAGACATGATTACATCGCGTTTTTCAGTTTTTCTTTTGCCTAATATTCGATATTTCTCGAAGAACTGTTGCTGCGAAAAGCTGACTAGTCACCAAGTATCTGAAGGTTTGTACTGCAAATTTCAACTATTGCTGAACAGCCAGCATAGCTTTAGTAAAAGCGTGAAAGTTTTTGCTTTCTATTTCTTTAGGCAGAAATAAGCAGATGTAGAGCGCATTCATGAAATCGTGACGACGGATTCGACCGCGGTCTAATGCGCCCAGCTCAGACACTCCAAGTGTCTGGCAGCTAACTTCACTTGCATAAAAAAAAACTTGGAAAAGAGAAAGGCAAAGAAAATGCGATTGAACTGCATACGCGATTCGTGGCCGCCACCATTCACAATTTTATGAGTGACATATCTATAAATGCCCGTTGATATCTGGTATATCTCCGAGCAAAATAGAGTTCATGTATCTTTCTGGAGGGAGACACAATTTTTCTCGGTTTTTGGGCGTTTAGATGTTTTAGATCTCAGCTTCCAACCTTACGTGGAACAAAGATCGTGCAAATGTTTGGGCATCCTCTTCTGAAGCTTGCTTTGCTTTAGAATAGGTCGCAAAAATGCAGAAAAATTATGACGTGTCGCGGGAGATGGTGAAAATGGTAAAAATTTACGAGGCAACTTGTTTATTTTCTCTTTTGTCATTACCATCTACATCATTTTATTCATTTATCGTATCATCTATTTTCAGGATCTTGATCTCACACCACTAGCTGGTGTATCACAGTTTATGTCAGAGGATAATCTAGCAAGTGCAGAATGTGGCACACCGGCCTACCGTACCCCCAGCTACATTAGAGTGAGCTGTGCACTCAGCGGATATACCAAGTGCGGTGACCCCGTTTTCGTTCGATTACCCCTCTACAATAACAGCTTTTTTCGCTACATCTCTACAATTTTCAGAACGCCTAGACACTTGGAAAGTAGTGCAGCTCGCGCGATGGGACGCAGCCTTGTCGAACGTCGTCTCGGGCTGTTTGACACATCAATGTCGCCCAGGTATGGCCGGTTATACTATACAACTTTGCATCTTATAGCTTACCTGTTCAATCCATCTCTAGACCATGCTTCTTTTTGCTATATCTCAAAAAGGCGGCGCGGTTCGCGCTTCGATTGTTTTGTGATCGCTGGTGCTACCACGTGCGAAGAGTTTTTATTTTATTCGGCTACAAGCGGTCTTTGACACGCTTGGCGCCATAGCTATTCTCAACGGCTCATCGCTTTCAATGTCACATACAATAGTGCATCTCTGGCGCTATCTGCCTGCCTGTTTGATATCCGGGTGGGCTCTTGTATAGTATAGTTTTTTTTTCCGAGGATAAGGTCTTCTTTTCGAGCATTTCTGTAAGAATGTACACTTTTTATCTCTTGTACATTCTTTCTATCTCGCATACTCCCTGTGTACTTGACTTATAACTTTGCAAAGTTCATGCGGTCTTTATAATTGCAGGGAACTGTATCATAGCTAAGTTTCTTTGCTCATTGTCAGGTATTTGTGTGGCTTGAGGAAACTTGAGTTGCATTTTTCATCTCGAGTTTCCTCCTCCTAAAATTTAGTGGTTGTATGCCCTCGTTTATAAGGATAATCTTTCTAATTTTCTTCTCTTCCTAGTCAGCGTGAGCAGGTATAGTTTCTTGCACGTTCCCTTAATATGCTCTACTCTGCTTTTATGATCAAAAATCTTCCTAGTCATGTAAGTATGTAACATCCAGACACTTTGGAACTAGGTCGGACCTTGAGTCACTATGTAGCCTCGGCTCCTTTTTTGAGATTTGCGCTTAAACCTCTTCATTGTGTTTGGATAGTTCGATAAGTATCGGCGGATTTTATGTCCGTCCTCTTCAAAATCATTGTTGTATCCTTTGACGCTGTTTTTCGTTGTGGCTGTTCGAGATCTCCTTTTATGAATGACCCAGACGTCGTATCTGCCCGCGGCGTTAGCAGTTCACAGAAAGATTCTCTGAAGCAGTATTTTACTCATCCATTTGAAATTTGCATTCGTATTTCAGCCTTCGTCAGTGCGAGATATCGCTCTAGAAAACAGTCACACGAAATTTGTTTTTCTGATTTATGCTGTTCCTTTTTCTTGGCGAAGGCTTGGTTAGTCTCAGGCAAATATTGCAAAGGCTACAGTTAGCAACGACCTGTTTTTGCTAAGACTCAATGTCATTGAGGGAAGAAACGTGTTTGAGGTAAATCACCTCTTTCTATGTGATCGTAGAGCCCACCTGCTGTTTTGGAAGGACACACAAAGCGCCAGATTGCTAGTAGTGCCGTCTGGAAGTTGTTTTGAGGGTGTGCCATTATATGTGAGGTTTCAGTCGAAAAACAGCTTTGATCTTTATTTGCGATTTGTATAGATTCGAGTTTTTTTTTTCTAACAATGTGCCATGTACAACGGAACTTTTTTCTAACATTTACCGTAATATATAAAGCGGCTCTTTCGGCATAGTTATACAGAGCTGCTTTGTATTAGTCGTAGCTATACATGCTTGGTGTCTCCAGAAGGGAGCTTGCTTGTCTTCTATTCTTCATCATGCTCGCGCCAATTTTCAAACCTTCCATTATTTTTCGAAATCTCCTTCTGGTTCTGACTGCACGCAGCACCGAGACCCAATTAACCCGTTCACCTGATATCCGAGCTCAAATTCTTGTAAAATTTCGGGAAAACGAGAATACCTACTCATTTTTATCGAAAATTCTACATTTTCCCTGAATTGTTTCGGCATCAATGCAGAAATTATAGATTTTTGAGTTACTACATAAATAAATTATGTATATCCAGTGCAGTTTGTTGGTGCACATCGTTCAAAAGTTATTTTGGTTTCTATCTCATTTGTCTCTGAACGCTGACATGTTCTTGTTTTGATCTCCTCTGTAAGTTTTTATTTTTCCATCTCAAAACTTGCGTCACCTTCAAGCCATAGCAAATTTCCTACCACCCACGCTTTAGTCAAACAGAAAATATTATAATAGCGGCTGAGCATTGTATGAATTTGGAATTGCTTCGGTCTAGCAAACTCTCCAATGATTGCTTAGTTTTGGATCAAAAAACCCTATCTTCCGTTTGTCGCTTGAAATTCGCTTTTCGTGATTTTTTCGTGATTTTCTATGGTTCCATTAGCTCTATAGCTAAAGTGGTTATGATCTTTATCTTTGCGTTCTTATGTAGCGTTACTCTTTCTCGTAATTCCTCAGTCTTGCCACGTTTTTTTTCGTGCTAATGACATTCCTTGGCAAAAACGAGGAGATTACAATCTTTATGTTCGTGGGCACTCAAAGAGAGTCTGTGTAAGTGCAGTAAAATAAATCCACACTTTGCAGAAATTCTTTGTCTCATCTGCTTCGTTAGTTTATATGGTAATATCATTGAGTGGAAGATGAAGTGGCTTCAGATTTTTCTGCTTAAAATTTTCAGCGAACACCGTTTTGAGCAATCACATACCCATCATTCTTTGTTTTAGCGCTTCCGCTGGTAATTAGACATCCGAGTGTGACTCAGTGGAACTTTGAAAAATGTGATGAGTGATCACAGGTGCTGCGCAGATGCGCTAACACAATTCCACTTTCGATTTCGATTTCCCGCCCTCGATGCCCGCAATGTTCTTTGTCTGTATGCCATGATTAGTTTAGTGGAACCAGCTGTAAGGAGCCCTTGCCTCCGTTTTTTCAAACTGAGTTGGAAGTTCTTAAGCAACTTGCCCGTCTGGTTTCATGCATAACATATGATATAGCACCAAATGATTCGTAGAGCTAAGTATTTCCCGCAGAGTGCTTTATCTTAGTAAGTGGTTTCCGGGATAGTAAAGCGCTTCATCACATGTTTTCCTCACTCTCATAGGGTCTTGTTACGTTTATATAGCGCTGTAAAACTGAGCAACCGCGCGTTGTAAAATAACAAGTTTGAGAGGGCCGTGTCGAGGTTACTCATGCGTGATTCCTCTGTCTAGTATTGGCGAAATTGTATCAGCTGTATGAAGTGTATTGTTCTGACGTGACCTTAATAGTTGGTCAATATTTTTGAGTTTGCGAAAGAGATCTGTTATCAGTTATCCAGAGTCGCTCGACGAACTTGTCATGTTTGTTCCGATTCTCATGCACTTATCCATGAAAGTGATCGAGTCTTCCATCATTTTTCCGTCTTTCGTCTACCATGCGTAGTACTTTTCGTTAACTAAATTTGTTAAGTAAAATAGTGAGACAAACCCTTCTTATAAACACTGTCTACATTTTCCATACGAAACTTCAGCATTGCAGCACCAATTTTTTCCTCGCTGATGTGACTCTCAATGGTCATTAAATCTATAATCATAGCGAAGCTCGTTCTATTGGAAAGGTGTGAAAGAAGTGGCCTTATGCCCAGTAATTTGGTTTTGTTAGGTGACAGACAAATCAATGCTAAAACTGTTTGTATGATCACCGATCAGCACTGCTAAATCACTGCGCAAATTGTATCGAATTGTCATCACAACAGAAAGTAAGCTGTACATAAGAATACTGTATGTAAACGTATGACGAATTCTTTTTTCAATGCATTCTTTTTCCAAAACTTCAGTTGAGGACGCGGTATTGCTGTTGGGTTAGCATCTAACACTTTTTAGTGTTTACGTATTTGACAAGCATTCTGGTTTTCTTCACAAATTTCTTTTTCACCTCATCCTTCCTCAGTCACCGTTAAATACTTTCTTAGAAATAATGTAACAACTTGCGCGATTTATATACAAAAATCATAAATTTTCTGCCAAATCCGTGCTCTGATTGCTTTTTTGTTGGGGCCGATGTAGTAATTTTTTTTCGATTTTTTCAATATCACATTGCTCTTTCATTTTTCTGCTTTGATCAGTTTCCTGTAAGCCAATGCTTTCAAAATTTATGTGCATTTTCTGTGGTATAGCTTTTTTCCGTCAAAATCAGTGGTGACAAATCACTGCATGTTTTTTGTCATGCCATAAATCGCATATGTTACATTGTCTGGTCCTTTGCATAGATTGAAGATTTATAGGATAGAGAACAGCACCGACAGTTTTAGTTTTTGCGCTTATCTTTGTATACAGGGTTCCCCAAAAAATGTGCTTACTGTTTGACTAGCTGGCTTACCCGGCTCCGCCGTATCCGGACCAAACTTGGCACACATACACTTCGGGCCCCGGCGGGTGTCACAGTCCACTTTTCGTTATCGATCGATGTCGATTTTACCGATTTTTATCGATTTTTTCGCAGAGTTCACCTACAGGGCTAGGAGTTGGCACAGGGGGGAAGTGAGCATGGGAATTCCGAATACAATATTAGTTTTCAGAATTATCGGTTACTTTTATTGATTTTCTCGATTTTTTTGTAAATTTTGACATGCGAGGCTGAGATTTTGCACAGGGGGGTAATCGAGCATGCTGATTACGAACACAATATTAGTTTTCAGGATCGTCCATTACTTTTATCGATTTTATCGATTTTTTTGTAAAGTTTGACCTGCGGGGCTGGGAGTTTGCACAGGGGGTAATCGAGCATGCAGATTACGAATACAATATTAGTTTTCAAGATCGTCCATTACTTTTATCGATTTTATCGATTTTTTGAAAATTTGAGCTAGGGGGCTGGAATTTGGCACAGGGGTGTAATCGAGCATGCTGATCACCCCCCTTGGGGATGATCAGCATGCTCGAATACCCCCCTGTGCCAACTCCCAGCCCCCTAGCTCCAACTTTGCAAAAAATCGATAAAATCGATAAAAGTAATCGATAATCCCGAAAACCAATATTGTGTTCGGAATCCCCATGCTCGATTACCCCCCTGTGCGAACTCCCAGCCTCGTAGCTCAAACTTTGCAAAAAATCGATAAAATCGATAAAAGTAATCGATAATCCTGAAAACCAATATTGTATTCGGAATCCCCATGCTCGATTACCCCCCTGTGCCAACTCCCAGCCCCGTAGCTCAAACTTTGCAAAAAAAATCGATAAAATCGATAAAAGTAATCGATAATCCTGAAAACCAATATTGT